TGACAATGTGTTCATTACATAATCTACATTTCATCTTACATTTTGATGAATAATCACACATTGACGGTTTCGAGTGGGAAGTGACTGGTCCTGAGCAGCAAACAGAAAGCACTTTTCAGGTCAGCCGACCTCATCCAAGCAAAGGACTCTGCAGGGTTGCATTGAAAATATGTCCTACATCCTTGGCTCGTTTACGAAAACTGTGGAATGCCTTGTTTTCATCATCTTGAGTCTTGACATGCTTCACAAGAGGATTATCAGACAAATATATGTGTGCAAACGTGCTCAAAACAATTCTATCATGTAGAGTCCCCACATCAATCAAACCACTCCCTCCCATCATATTTGGTTAATATAAGCGATTGAAGGAAGGGCGAGGGTGGTGGGATCTATTGTCTGCCATGATTCTTCGTGTGAGGGTGTCAGTACCCTGAATTTCTTATTTCGTCCAATCATCAACACCAAAAGAATACGAAAGAACGGATACAGCATGAGTATTTGTGGCTTGAACTTTATTGCGAGCGTTCAGCTCTGAACTCTGATTTTGTTAAACCTTCGTTTGTACTCTGAAATGTGGGCATTCTGAAGTTTGTCCCTCATCCCTAAGTACGTGTATGCCTGACCTACCACGAGATGGTCAATGTTTTTGAGTGTGGATCATCCATTGGCAAAATGTAAAGGAGGTGAGGAAGGGGTGTTGGGGATCTGTGCTGAGGAGGTCCCGAATGATAACCTTCCTCTTTGCTGAGCAAAAATCTAAATGATTTGGTGACAAACAGAAAAGCAAAGGGCTAAAGGAATCGCCCTGAAATATTCCTCTTCAATAGAAGTAGGTTCCGAAGTCACCACCCGCCCCTGCGAATACACCTCAAGATGAGTTGACCAGCAATTTATTCAAGACTTGGGTAAAACAAGTAGTCGCTCGGGTGGGTTAGTACGTTTGAGTGACTTCAAAATCCATTCATGAGGTACAGAATCCTAAGCTTTTCTGTAGTCTATCCAACACATTGAAAGGTTACAGTGGTAAGTTTTAGCCACTTCAAGGATCATTTTCTGAACTAGTAGTTGATCCTTACAACCCCAAAATCCCTTTCTGGCTCCTTTCTGCTCCATGTAAATAATGTCATTGGATGCGCAGAATGATGACATAATATTTGTAAATATTTTGTATTGTGTATTCAGACAAGTATATAGGCCGAAAGTTTTTGGGATCAGTCAAATCACCTTTCTTTGTGAACAAGTAGTGTTATTATTATTATTATTAGTAGTAGTAGTAGTAATATGATGATGATTGTTATGTACAGATAAAAATAAAAATTGCAGTAAATAAGGCTTGGGTGATCCGAGCACATTCAGGCTGGTTAGGCTCATCATCAGCTCAGGGCCCTTTCCCACTCTACACGCAGCCCAGGCAGCAAGTGGGACTTATCCCACAAGCGCTGCCTATTCCTGGCAGCAAACACGGGTACTCCCAATGTCAGACAACAGATTTGAAAGTACCGAACCTCAGGTACAGAGAACAATGGGGAGTCTGACAGCCTGGTACTTGGTTTTAACGCCAGTTTTCCAGTCATATCACAACATGTTAGATAAATGTGCGAGGAAATTAAAGCCTGAAGTTATGTAGATCTCGAACGTTTACTACTTTGGTGAAATCCACGAGCACGGGTATGGAGCTGACAACCCTAGAAACATAATCAGGGCGAACAGGGATTCGAACCCACATAATGTTTGGTGTGCCCAAGGGATGCTACTCAGCGAATCGGTCGATATCAGAGGTCATTACAAAGTGTTTAAATGCTGCTTTTAACTTATTTGTCCTAGGCGACACCAGATCATGTAAAGACATTATTCACTTTGGGCATTATTGCCACAATTATATCAACCTATGCCGTTTTGTATTCTCAATTAACGTAATGGTTGTTACACATGGTATATTACACTTTGTCAGATGTTTGGGTGCGATTATCCCATTTGCATACTCTTTATTTAACCTCGTATTTCAAAGGATGAAAAAAGGGTTTCCTGAAACGTATTATTTGGAAAATATGTTCCCTGTTGGTGAAAAATAATTTAAATAGAATAGTTTGAAAGAGAATGCCAATGAAGTTTTACGTTTCCGTGGCATGGAAAACGATGGCCATGGAAAATGTTGTGAATTTGTGGCAGTCTGTTGGTTACTTGCATGAAAGAAATGAAGCCTCTCCTTCCAGGACCATAAATAAATGCCTTGTGATGAAAGGTTACCTTTCAATCATATTTTGTTTGACTGCGTGGAATGTGCAGTCGCAAAGGAGGCTTATTATAAATCATAAAATCGGAACGATCTGCTTTCCCCATGTAAGTGGGCATCTGTTAATAAATACCTGAAGGAAAATGCTCTGTATCAAATATTGTGGGTGCCATGTACCCCAAACCATTGACCTGTACAGAGTAAATCCTAATCGGGTTCAGCAGTGAAAATACAACTTTCATCAGTTTATGTCCGTGTGGAGTTCCCATAAAGGAGATAGATAAACTTGATATGATATCCCTGTGAAATGTAAGCACTGCGTGGTTTCAAAGAAAAAATAGGCTTCTATGAAATTCAAGCAAAACCTTAAAAATCCTCATTTACATGTTTACTCAACTCAACAATAATGTTTAATCTGAAACTTTTATCATTGTTCACATGAAGATATAAAACATGTGTCATGGCAATGAAAAACGGCGATTTTCTAAAGCGTTTATCAATGTCAACATGATTAATGTGCTTTGTGTATCATGGCATAGACCGTTATCTGAATGATTCAAGGTTTGTGTTGATTTGAACATTGAGAGAAAAAAGCTTTTGAACCGCCAAAGATACCAATATCATTTTGATCTTTTGTGATAATTGCCTACGTCCTTTAACTCAAACAGCTGTTCATGTAACAGACAATCTATATCTTTTGCATCTGGTGTCACAAATATGATGGTAGCATCGGAATACTAATGGTAATAATACAACGAATATTTTACGCAAACAATTTTTAAGAAGTAGACTATTGAATATTTAAGCGTTGCATTTACACAGTATTTTGTAGCGTGATCTCCAGAAATATAGTAACGATATCAGTAAGAGAGCTACTGTGACATATAATGGCCAAAACTCCTGTCCCTTTGAGCAATCGAGATAACCTTTAATACATATTTGTCTTGTTGTAAATGGCCTCTGGCTCATGCAAAGAAACGAATCATGACAGCTGCCAATGAACAAACTCATATTTCTCACTGTCCTGATAGGTCAAAGGAAGCTATAAATGATTTGTGCTTAGCTGATATCACATGTCAACAAGAATAGATTTCCCGTGGAATCATATCTGAAACGCAAATATTTCCTGAGCTATCCATGGTACTTACATTATTTTCATTTCTTTAATATAGAGTATACATGTTGTAAAGTATACAAGTTCAGAAGTATGTTTTACTAACAAAACATTCATTCTGTAAAACATTTCTTCATGATTAATCGATCTACAGGACAGACAAAAAATCGCAAACAGAGCTTGAGAAGTTATACCTATCAACTATTCTAGTTGGTATACCCGTTTATCATAAAAAATACATCTAAATGTAATCCGTATGTCTAATCTTCATAAATATATTTGGTCAGTTTAAATATTGAAAGCCAAATAACAAGGAAAAAATATTTGTTTCTTGGAAGTTTTCAAAACGAGGAACTACTAACAACATGAGCATATAACATGTCCCCGGGTCTATCGTTTACACACCCTTCCCATCTTTAACCTGAATCAAGGGATATAATTTCAGAAAAAAGCTTAGTTCCATAATAAGACAGATACATGTTCACAAGTACATTGTAACTGACAGATATTTTAAGCATTATCAAAACTCGTCAAACGATTGCTAGCAGGGATTTTTCACGATAAGGTCAAATGACTTATGAAGTTGTACTTAAGTTAGCAATTTGATATCAATAGGAAATAGTTACTATTATTTTAATACCAACGGCTTCATATTCTTGCGACACCTCTTCTGAAACCTTAAGACCCATGAAGATTAACTTTTGTATGGATGATCCTAGAAATACTTTCTACCAGATCTGGGAAACAACATTTGATATGCAGCAAGACAATATATACGTAGCATATGTTGATGTCAGCCATAACTTAAGTATTGTGTGATAATGTAAGGCTACAGAAGGATATAAAGGTTGTGGGAGTGTTGTGGTGGTTGGTAAATATCATGTATTAGGAATAACGTTGCATTCATCAATATAGTGACATAAATTGACATTCACGTTTGAATGCGATCGCTCGACCATAGCGTTTATCTGAGTTGCCAGCTCCATGTATGGGGAACAACTCACTAAGCAGTTCTCTCTCAAAATATCACTTTGCGGGCGCATTTTCGATTCTCCAGAAATGACGTCATGATAAAACAATGTTATATCGTGAAATAAATTACACTTCATTCTTCATTGTGCTTTGCGATTTATCGCGTAGCTGTCTTAAATAGACATATCATATACACCTTCGCAGCTCCCTCGTTCAAGCCAATACCATATGCGTAAGAGTCAGGTTTTACGCCACCGTGTTTCAGTTGCATCATGTCATCTTCACTGTTGAGAAACTCTAGTGTGACAGTAAGAGAGTGAGTGAGTATGGTTTTACGCCGCTGTTAGCAATATTCCAGCAATATCACGGCGGGGGGCACCAGAAATGGGCTTTACACATTGTACCCATGTCGGGAATCGAACCCGGGTCTTCGGCGTGACGAGCGAACGCTTTAATCACTAGACCGCCCCTCTAGTGTGACACGGGTCTTTGACGTTGACAACCTTCATGAAACCCAAAGGCCTGAAATGCGTGCTTACAGACCAAACATCACAATGGCAACACATATGTGACAAGCTCCAACGATAAGTAGATCCTGTCCAGGCGTGGGACGAATTATGCAGTTTGCGTGGCCTTAGATAGCTTGGCTGCTTCTGTTAAAAGGAACAAAGACAAATTGAGGAACATATTTTTTATTTATTTCTACAAACTACAAATGCTCGCAAAATATTGTTTTGAAGACTAATGTTATTAGGTCAAATGTGTGTTTATGAGATGCAGTGCCGTCAGATAAGAATATACCTGATTTCCTAACACTAATGAAAGTGCCGCCATGGTGCAGGTGAAGCGATTTCAGTGGCAATTGTTGTATTGTGACACTTATTTTTACGTAAAGCGTTTCTATCAAAATGATAAAAGTATATAAGCCACACAAATATAAAAAAAGATAAGGCAATATAATAGTGACAGAATATGTATTGGAAATGTCATATATATCATAACCATCTATATTTTATGTATGTTTCATTTTGACTCATCACTAAAACAACAATGGAAGCAAAACTAAAGACTTATAATGCTATAGAGATACATGTCAGATTGAAATACGCATTTCTCATTGTTATAATAAAATTACAAACATAGCTGAAATGAAAATCCTTAGTAAATGTCTTTATCTCTATTGATGCCTGGCATTCTCAACCATCCTGTAGACTACAGTAAATGCCAACTTCTTTGCATTGGTACCAGCATTGTGTATTTCTTAATAAAAGCTATTAAATCACTTTGAGTATGGATGACTCGAGTTGTGTATTGACAGTCTGATATGTTCCAACATTCCTACAAATATGAAACTTCTTTATGTTTCTTGATTAAACAAAACCAGATACGTATCAATATAAAAAACCTTTCCGTAGGTAATTCGGCAAAACATAAGTATATCGACGATATCAGTACCTGATCATTAACTCCTCTGTGTCTATGTGTCACAGTGCCCGACTGAGCGAAAACAAAACACAATATTGTACGTTACAGGGTGAAAAGTCCAGTCCACTTATATAAACGATGTAGGGACATGTCCATTGGTTTTCAAAATATAATACATTTTATTTGTTATATTTTTACATGTGTGTGTCCCTATATGTAACATATACGTAATTGTAAATAACAGAGATGTTGAGTACAATGGCCTACAAAATCCACAATATATGGTTAGAAAATAACTGAATGATTGTGATACCGACAGAAAATATTAATAAAAATAATCATTCCAACCGATTTTTACAAATACGTAACGTAAAGTGCATAAATTAGACCTAGTTCACCAAAAAGGATCCATCAACTTGCATGAAATACATGTCTTATATTATCCCCATGAAATAACCACTACTAATGAATATAAAAGCAGTAAAGTACTCCTTACATGTATATGTGTTATATGTTGAAGACAAATGGCAATACGTAACGATTCTACCCCTGTTTACAGGTTGGCGTAGACACCGGAATCTCGTAGGTACTCTTTCACCAAGCCGTAACAGAACTTGTACTGATCCTGGAAAAGAAGAAAACCGGTATGTTGTACTCAAACTTACGCAGACAATTAAGTATGCAATACATTCGTTACTGGAATTCACAAACGATTCATCATTCATACATTTCGAAACAGAATCAGTGCTTGAGGGACCAACAGTTTCCTACTTAGAAAAAAACGCTTCAGATTTTAAGAAATAATTTGGAGACTGGATATCCTGAAATAAAATATGTTGTGGTTCATAAACAAAATTTGGCTTCTCCCTCGTGATTATTCAGCCTCCTATACGAATGGCTGACATTTAACAACGCCACTGTCACTGAAACCACGGACTGCTTGGACGTTACGGGTATGCCATGTGACTTGAATATCCTTCATCGCCCTGGGAAATGTGTTTGACACACTGGTTTATCATGTCAAGGGTCAAGGTCATCTTCAATGCCATAGCCGGAAAGAAGTTTGCATAAATATATGAAACATGGTACGTCTTCCTTAGGGCCCACGTCGGAAAGGCTGTGATTGAATTACGTATAAGGTCAAGGTCACAGCGAATGCCACTCATAAAGAATATGCGTCAGTTTCACTCAAATGACCTTCTGCAGCTATTTTACAGTCGCATGCATGTAGTTCTTATACATTCAAATGTTATTGAAGGGAAAATTCACTTTTAAGGCCACTATCACTATCATGCATTATGTGCACAATATGAGTTCATTCTAATAATTTGGTACAATTCTTCAGGGAGGACCATAAATGTGATAATGTTTGTGGCGCATTCTGTCATGGTCATGGTAACTGGAATGGCAATAATTACGGTAGCTTCATTGTGTATTTCACCAACCCATGGCCTGGGTATATGTGACATGTTAGTGAGAGCTATGTCAACCAACTGTAATTATGCACCACCCCCCTCTCCAAAGGGAGGAGAGACATATAGTTTTCTGCTCTGTACCGATTGGCTGTTCTTAACATAAATTGGCATGTGCATTGTTCATCAGCTGAATTAGTGCCGTTTGACATTTTTTAAATTTTCGAAATTGTATTCTTTTATGATATATAGAAACAATTTCGACTTTGTCTCAAACGAGGGTAGGGTTCGTTTCCGGGCCATAATTTGAAAACCGATCAACATATTTCAACCAAACTTGGCATATGCATTTCTCTATAGATGAACTGGTTCTATTTCAATTTATTTCTTAATTATATTTGTTACTTAGTCTCATAACTCTCAAGCTAATGGATATGTTAGCTTGAAACTATACATGTCCTATGACCTGATGCTCAACTATTGCCTTATCATATTTTCCATTTTTTCCCCTTTTTTTACTTTCTTGTGTCTCCATAGAAACAATTTGGACTCTTAAACAAGTACCGTTTATTTCCCGCCAAAACTCTACAACTAATGAATATGTAGTCCAAAACACAACTGCAACACTCATATCAAATGGATCACCATGGAATAACTATTTATTGTTTGCTTCAGTTTTAGCCAACATCAAACATGGGTGTTTACTTTCTCTTCCCGGGAGTTTATGCTTTCCCATACCCAAAATAAAGTGTGTTATACTTTCTTATTACGGCATAGGACTTTCTGTTAGAATATCTTGCATTAAACATGTTTTGCCATGTCGAAAGTGAAGCCGTTAAATATGCTTTTATGTTCCTCATTATTTTAGCTGGAGTCAAGGTACTTTAACCTGCAATGAGGTTATAGTGGACATGCATTTATATAAACTGAAGGCAATGGTATCACACTGAAATTGTATGGTGGTATGTATTTATTTTAGGGACATCCATGGCGAGGCAGCGTCTGTTTTTGTAAGTAGTTTCAAACACTATTCTAGCTCACAAAGGAACAGATATTTTAAAGGAATAAGTCAGTTATGTATTAGATACTCTTCAAAACAATATAGGGATACTCGGAAAGTTTCAAAAATTGCAAGAGATATTAGTTTTTGTAATTGTTTCGTGATGATAATGAACGGATTGGGATACCATTACAACCGGTAGTGAAATATGACAGTAGATGATAGGACTGCCAACGATCTTAAAGGACGATAGGGGTAAGATAGGGAATTTCAAAGTTGACCTTTTTGGAGCAGTAATACCGCCACGTTTTGTCAAACATTTATTCACTCGACGAGACATACTGCGTATAAGGTCTCCCAATAGCGATTTGAGGGAATCTGTCCTACGCCTCTTGCAGCGCCTGACCAAGTTCAGCCAACGTGGTTGGCGGTCTATGACGTTGACGTAAACGTCTCCCTATAATGTCCCAGGCGTTATCAATGGGGAAAAAGTCCTGGGCTCATTGCTGATCAATGCATTTTATGGATGGTGTGCTTCTAGAGGTGAGCATTGACGATTCGTGCACGGTGATCACGGGCGTTGCCGGCCTGAATAACAAAGTGTCGGCCTAGACGCCTTGTAAACAAAGTGTGAAGGTTGGATTGTACTGTCTAGTGAGCCTTCCTTGAACAATATGGCATGGGGGTCGCTCACTCGTAGTGACCGAATCTGTCGTGAGGTCTCAGGTTGAAATTGGGCTGACTGACTGACTGACTGAGTATGGTTTTACGCCGCTTTTAGCAATATTCCAGCAATATCACGGCGGGGGACACCAGAAATGGGCTTCACACATTGTACCCATGTCGGGAATCGAACCCGGGTCTTCGGCGTGACGAGCGAACGCTTTAACCACTAGGCTACCCGACCGCCCCAAAAAATTGGGCTGACAATCATTTCGACGACGTCAGACACGACCTGTCAGGAATGACACCCTACGCATATTTGTGGCGATATATTTTGGTGTAAAATTACAGACATAATAGCATGTTTGTCGTCAACTCTAATATTTGTTCTAATATAGTATTAACATTAATATTCCATGATCCCCTACTTTTCTTGAAGAGTATATGTTTCTAAAAATCTGAAAGGGTATTATTCGCCAAATCTCAACGTGAACTAATTAGAGATTCATAGTTTAATTTACTAATATATGATACATACTACACCTCTGCTTTCAAACTGCGAATAACACTCATATAATCTACATATTCTGGTGTTACGTGAATCAATATTTAGATCCTTAAGTATTTCTATGTTGAAAATAACATCGGTCTGTTCAATATGTGTTCCTAGTGTAACATTTTTTTCTTTTCGCAATGGACTTAACGGCAAATACCTAATCGCTCCCAGAACTGTTTATTGTGTTTTTTATGTATAAACTGAAATACAACCACGACATACATATTTTCTCGTTTAGCTAGAATCTTCCGAGACTTTGAAAACGCTCTGTCTGAAAATACGCAGTTCTGAGCTAAAAAAATGAAAAAGGACCTGTATGGAGATCAGATAACTGTGGAAACTAAAATGTATGAGAAAGTACTTCTCTCCCGAATCTAAAATCTACCGAGACTTGGAAAAAAACGCTTCTGAAGTGCCTAAATCTGAGGTAAGATCAGAGGAAACGTCGTCCAGATCACCGTGGAATCTAGCTTTCACGAGAAAGAATTTCTCTCTCCAATGTGCTCGAGGCAGATTTTGGAGAAAGATATAAGAAAATATGGGTAACAAGCTGATTTGTTGTTTCTAGAATATTCAATGAACGTGCTACCATGCATGTGTTTTCTGAAAACACGATGAAAAAGACTACATTTTCATACTCTGTACAACACTTGCTTGAGAACGGCAATACAACCAACACCGCAACGTCGCTCTTAATTGTAACAAAGAAGTTTTTCATCCAGAAATATTATCCTTATTTATTACTCCAACTTTTATATGCCTATAGGGAAGACAACCATCACAAGACAATACTATTAACACATACCATTCTTTTTTACAGAGATTAAGCTTTTGCCCCATACTTGGCTTAAAGACAACACAAAAAACAATGTTTTGACAATAGTAAGCATCAATCTACAATTTGCATATTTCACACAAGAATAACTATCATACGATTTTGTTTGTATTGATAAACATACATTTTATTTAGAAATGGCAGGATAGCGTTTGACACCATATTGAGTTTCCTAGTCTTTCCGTGAAATCATCAGATTGATCGTCTTCACTCGGTAGATCTTCTTCGCTGTCCTCGCTGCTGTCAATACTTGAGTGACTAACCACGGGCTCATATCGATATGATGATTATGTGTAACGTCACTGAGTGAACGGGGACACGGGTGGCCCAGTCTTCTAAGGCGCCGTGCAGAGTTGCGTTCCATTGGCACGCCAGAAACCTATGATTGTGGGTTCGAATCCCGGTTCACCCCGATTATGTTTCTAGGTTTCTCAGGTCCATACCCGTGCTCGTGGGTTTCACCGAAGTGGTAAACGCCTGAGACCTGCATCACTTACGGCTTTCCTCCCACATTAAGCTGACACACCGCGATGTAACTGGAATAATGTTAAAAGCGGCGTTAAACCCAACTCACTCACTCACTCTCACATTGAGTGAACATTCAACGTTTTCATCGAAGGCATTGTCTCGTGGTGCCATGGTGAACGCTAGTAATCAGCCAAACATTATACGAAAACAGTGATCGTCTGCAAGTCAACTCTCCACTTTAACTACAGGTCACGTAATGACAAATCGGACCATTTACTTCCGGTAGTTTCGGGAATACGAAGATTTTTTTATGTACATTTTTGTATGTTTTTGGTTTACTGTAATCTCTTTTAAGTTGTTTCATGTCACAAGCTATGAGAAGGTCAAAGGTCGAGGTCACGAGAAATGTGCTAAATTATGCGTGTGCATACATTTCCTAAAAAGTGCCTCATTGAAGGGGCCATTATTGTGTCCAATGAATGATGCAATTTTCTGAAAGTTTTGCTCAGATTCTGCTGACTTAGAACTTCTAACACTATTTGTGGTTGTTTGGTACCGGGATGGTGTTTAGTTTTAGACTTGCTACAGTGTTGTGGCACTATTATAAAAAATGCGTCTGTTTCACTCGAGAGTATTTTACACTGACCATAAACCATTGCCTAACTATACATTGTACGTACTTTGCGTTTCGCTCATTAAACAAAACTCCTGTAATTGAAGGGCAATATCATAATGTTAACTCGATGTTAACTTGATAACTGGCACGGTCTACAGGTTACATAGATATCAATCTATCTAATGTAACATTAATTTAGCATTAAAACCTCGTGCTGTGTGTTCTGTTCAAATAGTCAGGTAAACTAACTCTACATTAGGAGCTCATTCGTTTGATATCCCATAACATCAACCCAAAGTGAACGCCTTGATTGCATACAAGTTGTGGAAGCAATGAGTGTTAAGTATTTCTCATCATAGTGCTGATTTGTTGTTACACATACGTGTACGTTCCCTTTTGGATGACGAAGTCTCTAATACTTACATACGACTGGATGAACTGAGGTCTATAACACTGAAGTTCCCGGATGGTCAGGTAGATGTCCACTTCCTTGTCCAGTCGGAGTCTGCTGATGATGTTGAGGACGCTGCAGAACACTCCACACAGTCGGGCACCGTCACTGATTAGGATGAGAAAACAACATAAGTAAGACTTTGAAACTGTAAATTTGTACACATTTAACTGACTTAACAAATCTCACCAAGATCAGTACTCACGGAGTTTCGAATTGATAAACACTTAAAGTATTATATCAGCTGTAGAAGATGCATAGAAAATTGTGTTGTATATTTATATATACAATGCCATAGCATCAGACAGTAGTCTCAAAGAGTAGATAGACATAAAAAAGGAAACTGGTTATGATGAATGGAAAATAATGGGACATGCTACAAAAGGACATTCAACTTTTTTAAAAAGCGCTCAGATCAGTCTGAAACATACGCGCAATGTACAAGTGTCCTGTGTTCTTCGGAACTGCCTTTTGTTCCCACTTCATTCACAAAGTCTAGGAATGGTTCTGGAGGTCCAGGAATCTGTGATCTCAGTTTGAACACACGGATCTGTTGATGGGTGTTATCCTAAAGATAAGAAGGCTATTAGTGAAGTATAGAGACACTTGACTAAGAAAGTGTTCCTGGATAGTATATAATTCCTTATTGACATGAGCTATGAGAGTTGGAAGTGTCTAAAGGCTCCTTTGGTACAAGTATACCAACACTCGACTCAATCCCATCCCTGACGTTAGCTTTTGCCACCATTTAGTGAAACTCATATTTGCACCTGATGCGCTGGTTTCACATGGCTATTACAGTATACAGTACAATCCGGCGGCATTACATACAAGTTTTATACTTTTAACTCTAAAAGACATTTGTTCTTTAACCGGCCGCCCTGCCATACGAACTATATGCAGAGGGATCGGTGCATACAAGATTACTACGCTGTTTCTTCCGTAAGCAATAAGTAAGTCAAGACATAAGCCGAGTGGACCACAGTTGGTACATCACTACCTGTTCCCGGAGAGCCAAGTTAAGCTGCATCTCAGTAAAACTGTCTCGGGATGTGTCCACCTGCAGTGTAGTGATGCGGAACGGTCCTATGTTCAACGTCTCATTCTGTCTTGGATATAAGGCCTTCAAAGAAAAAAGAAATCATTCAGAAATCTGTATATTTAAGAATTGAACGTCGGGCTGGATGGGTTCATTGATGTATGAACTATTGGAAAACGCTGGTTAAACTGTGTGAACCTCGAGATTGCGATGGATTAAAAAGAAAATAGAAAAACGAGTTGATTGTAAACGCAGATCGAGAGTTCGGGTTAACGCCGGAATGTAGTTACGGCAAAAGTTTACACGATCAATTTCAGAAAAAATTGTTCACAACGTGTGAACTTTTCTCTCCGTTTACAGGTGTGTGAACTCCAAATATCAAATTAGGTGACTATTCATTCAGCCAATCAGAATGAAAGAAACGGTGTAACTTGTAAATTATATAGATACAACCGTGTTCATCAAAATCGTATATGCACAAGAGCAAACATCACTTCTCGCGCACAAGTGTATTGTTGACGTCATTCGAATCTTATTGTGACACACTAGAAACGACATTATTGCTAGAGATTGTGAAGGTCATTCGACAATTGTGGGTTTCTAAGATTCTACGGGTAGATCAAAACGATTAAGAAATAATGGCTATAAAGACAATATTGCACTCTCGTCGTATGATTTCACGAAACTAGTGTGATGATTACCCTCGCTTTTGCTGAGTAAATACAACAATACTTCATTGCAGGCTACGGACACCAGACATTTCGGTAACAACTCGATCATGAACGTAATTCCACTGACTCTACAACAATAAAACTGCCAATGCTTTATGAGATGCTACTGTGTTGTTCTTGGTGGGACAGACGGCAAATGCACACAGGAGTCTAACAAATATATGTGTGTCGTTGAAGTTCATGCATCACTTACCTGATTATCCTCTAGACACACGATGGTGAAACAGTCATGGTCATATACCAACCTCCAGAAGTCTACAACAGTCTGCGTCAGCGGTGTCTGGGTTGCTAGCAGACCCAGGGGCTGTGTTGCAGACTTTAAAATAGGTAAATTACGTAATCTAGTTCGAAATTGATATCATTCAGTCAATCAATGTTATTCATGACGGTGACAGGGTCATAAAGTTCTACAGTGACTAAAGTTCTTGCGATTTTGCCTTTTACGTCGAAATGAATCAGTTTCAGCAGATAATTCTGACTGATAATTCGCTGGCGTTGACGTTTTGTTTGTCCACGTCCATTTTGAAAATGAGTGTACTGGACAGGGTGGATACCATTTCAAAAGTTCTAAAGAATGTGACATGAAGTTGGTCGGTTGGTTCGGTTTTTAACGCCGCACTCACAATATTCCAATTATATGACGGCGGTCTGTAAAAATCGAGTCTGGACCAGACGATCCAGTGATTAATATCATGAGCATCGATCAACGCAATTGGGATCGATGACATGCATCAACCAAGTCAGCAAGCCTGACCACCCGATCCCTTTGTCGCCTCGTACGACAAGCATAGTCGCCTTCTACAGCAAGCATGGTTTGCTGAAGACATATTCTACCCCGGATCTTCACGGGTCTGATATGAAGTGACCGCCTCCGTGGTCTTGTGGTAGAGCGTCCGCCCGGAGAGCGGAAGGTCCGGGGTTCAATCCCCGGCCGCGTCATACCAAAAGACGTTAAAAGATGATACTTGTGCATGTTGTTTACCCTGTCTGGCGCTCGGTATTAAGGGGCTAAAACAAGGACTGGTCGGCTCGGAGTCAGTACACTGTGTCTGAGTGGGGTATTCATGTTAAACTGCGGGATGGTATCTCAGTGAGCTAGCACTATAAATCGGCATCAGTCCGGACTAGTACAAGCAGCCACACACACACGTGCATGCACGTCGCTATATAAGTACAATAATCTTGGACGCGACGTTAAACCCAATTTCACCTCACCTCACCTTTTATATGAAGTCTGTGTTTAGATATACACTAGGTTGATAAGTTTTACAAATGTCAAGTTCAAGGGGCGAACCTATGTACATATCAATACAACTAACATGACTGAGGAGGTCGTAAGCATTTTGCTTACATTAGGTTTGGAGAGTGAACACGAGACAGTGAAATATATATATTCTCAAGACTCCTCAAATTAATTGAGTCAAAGCTATACTTGGAACGATTTCTCATACGTATCCTAATGTCCAGTGCAATTCATATCATTAGTATATACATGTAAGCAGATAAAATGTTTTTGAAAAGACAGTCGACATACTTACAGGAAGTACGACAGCGTTGATGTAATCATTGTGATCTGCGACAGGAGTTGATAGAAAGGGCCGGACTCTGTTCGCTAGAATCACATGAGATAAACGACAAAACCCCACTTTGTACACATGTATAATGTAAATGATCTTTGGAACAAATAACATGATATTTGGATGTATCGTGCAAATGGACAAGAACGTTTTCTTACCACTACTGCTGTTTACCTTAGATTCGGTGTGGATTAAGTTTGTATAGGCACATATATATACGGAGGTTAAGACGTTGTCAGCATAACTTGTGAAATCGTTCATTTACCAGTTGCAAAGGAAAATGAGGAAAAGTCAGTCTTTAAACATGGCGGACCATGCGAGACGAGATGCAAACCTGGGACAATATCCTTGTTTCTGTTTTTGCTGATGTTATCTGGAAGATAAGCATCAGATGCCAACTTCTCTGGGATCTCCATCTTCATGTATTCAAGAGACTGATCAAACGAAACATAAACACGTCATTACATCATACGTAGGAATGCATAAGTACAATACAGTGTTTTTTAAAGAATAAACTTAACATAATTACAAACACAACATATCAATAAAACGTTTTCTGACTATTTTCATTAATGTACAGAGCACACTTTGAAAAGTATGGAGCCTTTTGGTTGAAACGCATGTTCTCGGGGATGATGGAGTTGTGTCCCTTTGATTGAAGAACGCAATCAACACCGACTGCAACACTACTGACATGCATATGTTACTGAGAGGACGATAACTATAACAAAAGAAACAGGATTTAACTATTGATGATTAAACATACGATCATACTGTGTTTTCAACTTTCATTTTAAATAAATTTACATTTACGTTAAAGCAGCAAAGCCATTTCCATAATCATAAGAAATCTCTGTGTAAGACTACAAGTCCACTGTACGATTCGAAATATGCATGTGCAGGGAATAGTATGTATCCGTGTGTTTTACATGTATTGCCACAATATTAAATAAAAAAATACCAATGTCAGTCCCTAAGTAGTAGCTAAACCCTATTCAAGGAAAGGAACTGAGATCATTCTAATAAACATAATTTTCAAAATACAATGAAAACTGTAAACGTGTTCGCAATATATGTTAACATGTTCTTGACCTCGAATTCGTGTTAAATGGTAAAGGTCAGTCTCATACTTTCCTAAAGAAATGGCTCCGGAAGTAATGACAATCCTTTTAGTGAGAATGGAAAATACTTCAGCACAGCCTTGTAGTCCTGTTAATGGACATGTGTACACTGACTCTAAAAATGCACCAATGTCAATGGCATGTATGGTTCATCTTGCGGAGAATCCGGCTAAAAACATTCCCTGTAATTAATACTAGCTACACAACCAACACACATGTTTAGCTGACACATGTATTATATCACTGAAGAGAAGTAAGAGAGCGATGGGTAATACGGTAATGAATGATTACATATTATTTCATCCAGCTTCAGCCCCGTGATATCATATCTATACCCATTAGCTGGACCATGTGATATCATATCTATACCCTTTAGCTGGACAATGTGAATTCCGGCAAGTCTTACTGTCAACTTTTACATATAGGGGGGAATGATATGATCTTGTACTTTCATTTTGGAACACGATGATAACGACACAACATGTGCAATATCTTCGTAAAATGTTCAAAATATTGTTTCACTTTTGGGAAAACTTCTCGTCTTCTAGTTAACTACTTAAATATTATAACAAATCACGCCTTCCCTTTTCTAACTGATGATCATCCGCACCTGAAATTGTTTGTTCATCTCCATTTCCTGTTGTCTGGTATATTTCACCTCGGTACCAAACTTCTTCTCAAAGTCGGACAAAGTGTAGAACGTGCCCCTACTCTCTAGGGCTTCCATGACAGACTCGTGGACAAAACGGTACTGCTCCTATAAATACGATTTTCTTTTGACAAAAACAACTTCAATATCGGGTAAATTTTCTTTTTAAAACAGTTTAAAGATATTTCCGACGATTCTACAGTTCAATAATGAAACATTGCTAAGCATGATATTGCTGCTGGCCTACCTACAACACTGACATAGTATTTGTCTTCTTTAATATTTCAAACCATGTTATACCGACACAGGAAACAGGAGTCATTTGTCGCCAACAGTAAAAATGTGTTCTTACCACAGTCTGAACCATGTTCATCCTGGCTTCTCTCATCTTGGACACACACGAAAACACGTTTACTTTGTTCTGAGATTCTCCTTCATCAAAGAGGTTGTCCAGAGCAATGAACGTTCCCGTCCGACCGACTCCAGCACTATCAATACAGCGAAAATACAGCTACAATGAGTACATTTATTTCCTGTACAGAATCGGAATATCTACTGGATGAAATGTTCTCGATCATACTTAGCTAGGTAACATAAAAATGCACGAAATCGAGTGGCATGGAATCCATTTCCTGTCGTGTGTTATTATTGATATGTTATGAGACTATTTTGCATGATATTACACAAGCATGTATGTTTCGTACCTGCAGTGAACTACAACCGGTCCGGTAATGTCCTCTTCTGATGACACCAAACCCCTGTACTGCTTCCAGAAGCCGACTAGAGCCGGCGCTGAAGGAACATCATGGTCAGGCCAGGACGTGAAGTGAAGCTGGGTCACTGTCCTCTTGTCAGAGGGCTTTAATTGGAAATGTATATAATGCAAACATTTGTCTAATAGGGAGGCTAATTTTTCATAAATGAGTATTTTTTTACAAATAAATGAAATCATCAATATGTGTCTCAGTATCACCCAAAGCAATAGAGGGATCATGATAATAATGCAATATGGTGGTCCAAGAAGATCGCCATTTTTACAGTCGCCAAATACAAATACAGATCATGAACATGCAAACGCGCCCAAACGCATCCACGTGAATTGTAAATGCGCGATCTGAGCGTGAAACATGAGCACATGTCCTTTATGGGACGTTCTGGTCAGCGTTCTATGACGTTTGAGGAAACGTTGGTAGTCGCCCATGGTCGCTGGGATAGCGCCAGAAGAGCGTTGTGTGAACGCTAGTGAACGTCGGTGATCGCCGGGAATCGGCGGAGAACGCTGGTCCGGAATTCTGTTTTTGAACATGCACAAAAGTTCTCACTGAGACCAGCGTTCTTCAACGTTTAATTTTAAACGCTGAAGAACGTTTAAGAACGTTCGTGGAACGTTTTACTAACGTTCGCCTAGCGTTGCACGCGTTCGGCTATCGTTAGTCAGTCGTTACTCTAGCGTTACTTGGTTGTTACTAATCGTTTGCTTTGCATTGAACGACTCACTGGCGACCTGTCAACGACCGCTGAACGGTCCCCTAGCGCACGTAAAAATAACACGCCAGCAAGACGCTATTCTGTCGTTATTCACACGTTAGTCACACGCTCAACACGCTCGTCTAACGTTGACAAATCGTTCGTCGCGCGCCAGTGGCACGTTAGCACACGCTAATGGTTTTCAGGGGTATCTTACTTGGTCGCTGTTACACGCTTCTCGTGCGTTAGACACACGCTAGTCATGCGTTAGGCACACGTTAATCACACGCCAGATGTGTCATCCTCATTCTAGAACGCTAAAAAATTGAACGATTGAAATGTTCAGAGAACGTTGACCAGAACGTCATGGTGTGACGGCCCCTTTAGAAGGCTGTGAAGAATGTGCAGGATTTTCGTCTAGAGCACAACAGAAAACACATTGTGGCGGCTTAGTGAAACAGAAAGAAACAAGGTCATTGGTTTGGTCCCAAGCACCAGAACTTGATTCTAGAATCGTTACCAACACTAAGGGACAACATGCGACTTTCCCTGATCCGGTAGATTATGTGTCGCCACTATTGCCTAGGGCAGCTACACCTGGGTCGACCACGAAACCTCTATAGCATCTACCGTACCTAGGACTACAAAGGGTATCAGCCTAGACGGCGAGGAACAGCATAAGTGAGGCAGCTCTTCGATTCAGACGGCCTGTTCAGTGTGCTATTGTGACGCCCTAACATCGTCGACAGCGACGTGGAGGGTTGTGTGCTTTAACGAAAGATGTCGGGTGTATTTTGACGTCGACGTGAACGAGACTAGTGTGAGAGTGCAGTCAACAATCTCGCTAAATGAGAGGATCAACCCAGTTCCCCTGATGGACAACTGAACTGTACATCGATATCGATTTGAAGTTTCCGCAGACACACGTCACTCCCATTATGCATTCCAACATGATAATGCCTGGGCAGTTAAGACGTTGTTTGTTTGTTCGTTTGCCTTATTCTGCAATATTTCAGTACGGCAACATACATGTATGCTCTATTACAAAGCTACACTTGCATTCTGGAAGGGAATTTGGTTGTGATGTTGTATGAGTCTATGGCTGCATGGATCCTGGATCATGCTATGAGTAAATGGGATACAACTATCCAACAATCCTTCACAGACTGAGAGATGAAGAACGCCCGGGTTCAATGCTTCTTTCGTCAGTACTTCGGTCATATCACTGCTACCTTACTGGCAAATTTAGGGAAACAAAGACTAATCTAACAGAAACAATATTCCTATCTGAAGAAGTCAGTTTTAACTACCTTATTGGAATGCTGAACCAGGAACTTCCTGATGGTAAAATCCGCCCTGACAGTTGAGAGGAGTGGCTTGATTAGAATGTTTCCACATTTCTTTTCCTTCATGCCATCTGGCCAGTACTGTTCACACTTTTTCTATGTAAACACATGATATGAACAGTAATGTGCACACAATTATTACACCTAAACGCAGTGAAATCACTTAATATCAATCACGAAAATTTTTAAAGCACTTTTAACCATGCTATTCTGAATTTCCATAGCACATTTGTAACGTTTTGTTACTGATTTCAAGCAGAAATATATCTGGTGCTGATCTTGAATTCCGACACCTAGTCCAAGGACAAATAACAAACATGGGTTGATATCAGTTAGCATAATTATGTTCTCGTACGTATTCTATGGATATGGATTGTCGGTTTACATGCTTGTATTTAATGGTACTATTAATGAAAGGCTTGTGTTCGATTAGTCAAAGGGAAACAGATAATCAGTATTAAAGGGACTTACCCTGTTGAGTTCCATTACCCTGGTCAGCATGACAATCTGTGACACATTCTCTTGCCATATCATTCTCCAGAAGTCATCAACAGTTACGTTATTTGGTCCTGCAATATGGAGAGTTTTTATCGACTTTCCGCCGTGACAATTAACATTGAAACCAACCAAGGGTTTAAATAAATGCAACGAATGTCTTATATGAGTGTAATCAAGCGTTAATTAATGCCAAAACCATAACCCGACTAAACATAGCAAAACCCCCCAAAAATTAGTACCATTCAAATGCGTTTGAAAGGATAGCGGTGAAAATTCACGGAATTGTATTTCTTACAAAAGGTAAAAGGATGTTTGATAACTCTTGAAACAGAATCACACACTTACAAATAAAATCAGTATGACGTAACGGTCTTTTTTGTATCCTTAATTCAAATGCTGGTTAATTTGTCATTTGTGATGTACCAGTGCTTAAAAGTAGGAAGAATTAACGTGGGGCATACCTTGAGCAGCTATGAAGACACTGGTTTCATGAAAACCCTGAAAGAAATTAACTTTTTCTGTCAAATCCTAAATTAACTTCGTGATTAATTTATTTTGGAATTATATCACTTGTGTGTCATTGTGCTACCAGCTGACATGAAAAATATCCCATCGACGAGAGATGCATGATGGACAAGGTTGCTTGACATAAATTCACAAATTCAGGTCAATAAATATAAATACATATAAAGACATCCGACATTTGTTTTATTCCTTAATCACGGAACGTTCCATGTACAAATAGCACAACTCAAATTGTTGTAATATCATTTATGCTGATATGCTTCTTCGGAAATATAACCCAAGCGTTTGTCTATAGTGGCCCAGTAATCACTAGAGATTATCAACAGTGATAACTGACCTGTACATAGCTGGCGTGGATGTAGTCACACGTAGCGTCACCATCAGGGGACAGGACAACTCGACTGGCATCATCTATTGAATACGAAACATGTCGTAGATGCGTGTTGCCATGGATATGGTGATGACAAACTAAACATTATAATCCTAACAAATCTTCAGTCGGACCCAAGGACTGGTGAATCTCCGCAGTAATAAGGGACGCAACTATGTGTTCATACTTTGTTTGAAACCGATTAATCACTGAAACACTGAGGCTGAATCGACTTTGACCTAAAAGGTTTACTTTATGTACAATGTATATTTCAACGTGTGTACTCTCCACTGATAACACAGGGATCCGTTCTTATTCTGGTAATCTGGCACCTAATACTTTGACAGGGTCCATTGAAAATGTTTATCCTAAAATATGATGACATTTTGAAAGTGTGGCAGTCTTTAGATGGGTTGTCAGGCACAGAAAGAAGATATACATGAGATGTTATTGGTGTGCAGGACAATATGTAAATCAACTAGATACATTTAATGACGGACAAAAGAGATTATGACATTATGACATTTCCGTCTTGTATTCAATAAAACATTTTCCACTATTTCCATCTCATCTTTGAAATATTAACATGACCATGTGTAAACCAGTATGAATTTTCTCAAAAATAGTACACAACTCACATGGAAACAGAGCAAGAAATCTGTTTCTCTTCTTATTTTCAGGTTTCTTCCCCTCCGTGTGCTCTCCATTCAGTCCATGACGTAGTAGCTTTGCAATAAAAACAGAAGAGTTACGACCCGAAGGAATATATTGATTTGATCCCATACAAGATGTCCACATGATCTCCATTCTGTATTATTCACTGATATAAAAACATTTTAAAGTGGGTCAGGGCTTCTTTTTATAATGTATAAATGACCATGTGTTTGTTTTCCGATTCTGCCAATCTCTCTCCAAACCCGTGGTAATTGAAGTGGAGGTCACTTTACATGTGACTCTGGACAACATTTTATTTCTGTCTAATTTAAGGGAATACTTTTGTTTAGTTTCAACTTGCAAGTGAATATAAAGTTTATCCCACTTATACAAGCAAATCTGACCTTGTACTCGTGTTCGAATCCCATGCCCGTCACCTTCTCCCTGACATACTGCATGAGTCTGTCCAGGCGTACAGGGGCTGGGAGGACGTTATAGTAGTGGTCCGAGTTCTCGTACACGTTGTCTGCGGGAGGTTTCTGTTTCTTTGGTGGCTTAACAGGCTTAGTTGGCTTCAAGGATGGGGATGCTGTCCTTTCGCCTGAAACACATGTGACATTGTCAAGTTTCTTAACAAAACATTGAAAATTTTACTTGATGACATGTGTAGAGACACTAACCCTAAAACAAAATGTATCGATCATTAAAAACAGAACATTTGTTCAAGATTACACAGGTACACGTTCTTAGTGTGGATACTTTAACATGGCTTCCTTGCCTGGAGCATTTCATATAAAGAAGTAGTGTTACTCATTGTGTCAAAAGAAATAATGTGCTTGAGAATACACCTGATTTTGTGGAAGATAAGGAATATTCATGAGCTTTACTTACTGGATGCAATGAAGGAACTCTCAGTGGTACTTTCCTCAAATTGGTCTTCCGTTTCAGTTTTCTGTGAATTTCTTCTTCTACGTGTTTCAAGAGAAGAATATTAATTAATACCTGAGATGGTAAAAAGTTGATATTTGAAAAACTGAAAACGAAATATCCTTTAACTATATACACACAATTAGAAACATTTCAGTTCATAAGATAATTGGTCGCATTGGTCCTTATAAAAACGTACAATCACGCTTACCTCAATTTGTCATTTTATGCAACTCTGTTCCTCGTTGTGACAATCATGGACAACATAAAATATTGGCTAATAACATTTGTTACAGCAAAACAAATTCAAATAAATTATTAAAGTACAGGTAGCTATATAGAGAGTTTCCTCACTTGTACAGAAATTAGCTGATGAAGGCACACCTGTGATAGGTAATGATTGGAAAGACAGAATGAAACTACATAAAGATGACAGCCATAGCAGTTATATTTGTGAATACTTGATATTCAAAACGTATCGTTACAGTATCCTACTAAATGATAAGTTTGATGCGAAGCGTTTACAAGTTCGGTGTTTTATAACCATATACTGTTCACGACTGACCTTCGCATGTAAACCAGCACAGCAACGACGGCCGCAAGTGAAAGCACAGCTATTACAACACCCACAATGACACCAGTCAGGGATTGGGGCCCTTGCTTGTTGCTCTTTTGTGCCACTACAATAAATGAAACAAGTATATAGTATAGTGCAAAACCATCACTAAATCAGAATGAGCATGGCTCGAAGTTGATTTAAACAGTTCTTTTTTCTTCAATATAGGCCAATGTTCTTTTAAAAGATCCATTTAAGTCATGATATCTTTTATATTTCGCATGTTCAGAAATCATAGTTTATAACTTTTTCAACAGGCTCTATAACATATCTGATAGCATGTCATCGTACCCAGACAGTATGTGTCGGCATTCATGCTATCAACCACTGGGCTGGCACTGACCAGAATATGTATAGGAAGCCGTGACATAGTTGATAAATAGGTTTCTTTAACAACACATAAAAACAGTGGAAAAGTATTTTCTCACCTACACACAAAGATTCTGTGTAACCTTGTTCGCATTGATCAGGGCAGGTCCCATCTTCTTTGTTGCAGTCGGACCCACCAAGACAGTGACCACATGTTAAGGAGCAGTTGTCGCCGTAGTAATGAAGTGCACAATCTGTACGGGGTTGTAATTAAACCATTACAAACATCAATGAACATTCTATGAGTACAAGATCCCATTTCCTCTTCGCGTCATAGCTCATCAATAGCACAATACTGTCCTGTTAAGAACGCATGGTATATGCATGTGACACAGTTACTAAAGTGTTGAACACAGATTGAGGACCCGTTGAACACATGTGTGCAAGGCGTGACGAACGGGTGCCGTGTCTGTAACACGGAATCGCGCTTCACTTGAATGACAATAATATGATAAAACAAAACAATAAGATGTGAATCTTGGGTTAATGAGGGGCCGTCTTAATTGGTGTTCCTTGGTTCGACTCTCCCCATGAACAATCCTACTAGGGTCCCGTCCAGCCGTGAATACGCGTTCATTGCTTCGGATACCACCGAGTTGACAAGAATGTCGCTGGTTGGTAACTAATGTTCGCATAAATTAATTGATTTTAGATTCACGTTTAATCCATGTGGCTATACCTGTAACTCCGGGCGAGTACATATATTACCGATGCTCGTAAACCAAGTTTATGCTTCAGTAGTAGATGTATGACGCAGCAGCCAGCATTATCAATGACTTATTAAAAGAGGTGGTACGTCTATTTACCTATACGCCCCCACGTCTCCTACACACAGATCTCCGATTATGTTTCTAGGTTTCTCAGCACCACACCCGTGCTCGTGGTAAATGTCTTAGACCTACATCACTTCGGGCTTTCCTCCAACATTAAGCTGACATCCCGTGATATAACTGGAATACTTTTAAAAGCGACGTTAAACCAAACTCACTCTCACACTTACACACAGACAGTTCGTCATCAGTTGGAACTGTTATTGTCAAAACAAATCAGACAGGTTTGTAAAAAATCTTGATCATTTGTGGTTGCCATAAGGCGAGTAAATTGTTGGACTGAAGGTCGAATTATTTATTTGTTTTGTGTTTATTGCCTTTGAATAATTTCTATAGATGGACATATAAAGGTGAAATGATACAGGTCTTATAATAAATACATAAACTTTCAGATTTTAGAATTTGTTGATGTCTCCCGGTATCAATATTAAGCCTTTTACATCCAACATGAGCACGATCAAAATCGGTAGCAAATATATACATGTACACAGTCGAAACATATTTCTCTGCTTCTAGTCTTATCTTAAAATGTGAGTAACATTGATATCGAGTACGGGGTGATACAATAAAAAAACATGCTTAGAAGTTCATGTTTTTCAATTTGTTTTGAAAACAAAAGTTGAGAAAAATAACTACACATGCGACATCTCGGTAGATCCAAGGATAGCCGAGACCTGAACGAAACATAAGTGTAAACTGTCATGCCCAGTTGTGTCTACCTACTAAATCAATATTAAATAAGATTTCGGAAGCCATGTAGGGAAGTCAATTTACTTGGCAAAGAAGTGGATTTAGCCAGTATTTTATGCATTAAACCGAACTGTTTAGGGATATCGTCCACATCCCCCTCAGACCATAATTATAACCTGTGACTGGTAATATCGGTACCAAGATAATATTACAGGTAACAAGCTAGATATTGGACTCGGTTATCTCTTATCTTTAATGTCCCCATACATCGCATCCATGAAGACGGAAGAGTTTAAGTTACAAAATATAAATTAACATATTAAAAAAAAGCAATGTTATTCTGGGAATAATCAATACTCCTGTCCGACATATGTCAATCATATCAGCGGACAATTCTTGAAAAAAGTGAAAATATGATTGGGCTTAATACACAGCCCTGTTTTAATACAGTAACAATGATACATAACAGAGTAGGCATATTCCGAAAACCTTCAAAAACGTGCAAACAAGTACTAAAATTACTAGTATCAAAATTTAAGGTTCTACTACACCAAATCAGAACCAGTTTGGACAGCCTTCAGTGTAGATCGAGAGATATCTGCAGGCTGTGATTGGAGCATATTCTGTAAGATTGTTATGTCTTTCAAATGTACATCCATCCAGTTATTAAAACTGACCATGTTTTTCTATATTTAGTACTGTCTTTTTCAACATGATGACTTATGCTGAATGTGACCAGAGCTATTTTCAAGTAGGTGACATTTGGTGCGAAACTGGGGGTGGTGTGTTTAGCTTCCGGTACTCGGAAAAGGAGCTGACTAAGCTAGTCATTTTTATTTTTTTTATTGCTGCTCTAAGGCCAAACTGTGCACACACATACAGGTAATAGCTGTTGAATGCTTAGTTATTTAAAAAAAAATCATAACGTTACTATAGAAGTTTATGGGAAAACATTTGGTTGTGTGTAACCTGTAGGGTGAGTGCACATTTCAGTAATTCATACTTTACATGCTTTTCTGTTTATATTTCACCATGGATACACCATGGAGGCAAATTTAAAAATAATGACAGTGAAGTTGGGGACATTTTGGGTTGAATGGAGCATTTGGATGGCCTGGAAATGAATGTTGCTTCGTATTGTGGTCGAACTCAGCACGAACCCCCCAGGGTACCTCTGTCCAACAAGCCCTCATCCTGCCTTCTGAATTTGTTGAAACTGATGAATTTGACAACAAATTAGGGTAAAGTCACCACTGCCACAACAGTTTCTGCCTTATGTCAATCGCTTGCCAGTCAAGTTACGCGATGCCGTTATCTTGAGTATGAAGCATGTACACTGCTGACAGCAGAATATGTCACACATCCTCTTATTTACAGTAAACAATGTAGCATACCAATATATCTTTCTGTTAGGTGCTCTTGTGTGAATGAATGATGCTATTTTTCTATTAAGTTTCTTAAAACAGACTTATTTTTCACTCATATGACTTTCAAATAATTATTTTGGCCCCTCAAGAACTAACTCCTGGCTGTTATATCCAAACTGGTTTGCCATTTGATATTGTCTGAACACTTTTTTCAGCTTTTCGCATGCCTGATGTTGACTGGGGAGGTATATGTGCACTCATGCAGAAGAAGTAGGAGTTTTGACATCGAATTTGGCATTTGGAGAAGCTGATCCGAAGTCCGGTGTTGGCAGTGTGTGATCGACAACCCTTGTTTTGCCTCGCTACGCTCTATTACCTTGTAGAAGTTGTGGAACTTGGACATGTAGGTACATTAAGTACATTTAAGAACCCCAGTCCATTTGAGGTTCCTCTGTTGCTCACTATCAAGTGCCATAATAAGATCACCCTCATGCACTAGACATTTCTAACAGTGCTCCCTTAATGCCCCACTGTGCAGTTTTTCAGTTTGCAAACATGAAATAAGGGCTATACACCAGTCCAAGAACCTGCTTAGATGAAAATAATATCCACTGGCTCTTTTGGAATGTAACATTATGGTTCTGAAATCATCTGTAAAGAATGTGATAGTGTTCGACAATACTGAATTATCTCCCCTGTTTAGTAAAATGCATTGTATCTTTCATTCCCCTATAAACCCATAAATTATTGGAGAGAAACACTATTTTAAGCTGGCATTGCATGACACTGTTAATTGTGAATAAAAAGAATTACATTTATGTCAGGATTAGCTGTACATTTTCAAAATTATATGGAATTTTAACTTTGTTTCATTGAAACTGGCAAATAACTGAAATAAGCAAGTTTAGCCACCTTGAAACATTAAACAGTAAGGATGTTTGATGTCCTGTGAGTATTTTAAAGTCTTAACTAAATAAATCAATAGAGTTAATTGTAATTTCCTTCCATGTTGTGGTTTCAAAGAGCTTTCTTCTACTTGAGGGTCCATTTTCTATTTCTTGGCTTTAATAGGCGGTATGGTTCACTGGTCAGCATTTGAGATTGCTGGCAACAATGCACCCTTTTACTTCCTATTTTCTGGTAAAGCTCATTATCCAGCCTTACATATATGATGACTTTAAAGCTACTTAATGTGTCCCCTTGCTTATTGTTGGCCTGAATTCCATGCTCTCTGTTCAATTTTGAGATTTTTTTCTGATTCCTTTCCATGTGTACTTATGTCACCAGCCTATATCATAGGGGATTATACTTTTGATTTTTGAAGTATATGAAAGCACAAACATTTGTGATAGCCCCTCCATAGATGATTTACCAAATGCTGACAGCCATTTGAGTGTTTAATTATATAAACAATGGATGGTGTAAGTTCGAGCAATCTCAAACAATATCAACCGCATCATGTCATGAGTGTCAAAACCATATTCCATGAATGTAGCAGACTCTGCTATGTTCTGATGATGTCAGCAAAGTAAGGCAAACAACAGACCACTACTCAATTTTAAATATGTATTGTAACTGGTTTTGAGGTTTAAAGATTTGTTCAATTTTTTTAGTCGAAAAAATATTTTAGGGTGATATGATCTATGCAGCCTCAATCATTTATAGAATTGACCCTTGACCCCCTTCTTTTATGAAATATGAATTAACTCCCATGGTCAGTGCATGAAGGTAGAAACTTCTTTATTAATACAGAAATACCTTTTGTAAAACATTGATGAAGTGTACATCCTTAAACTCTCACAACTCTTTCTGTGCATCAAAACTATGTATTCTGGTGCCATATAGACATGCTGGATAGGAACAAGTAGTGAAGTTTAATCCAATTTCCATTTTTTTTCTGAGAAGCTACATATATATACAATACATAAATCACACATTTGACAAGTGCAAATATATTCTGATTTGTCTACAGGTTCTACTACACCAAATCAGAACCAGTTTGGACAGCCTTCAGTGTAGATCGAGAGATATCTGCAGGCTGTGATTGGAGCATATTCTGTAAGATTGTTATGTCTTTCAAATGTACATCCATCCAGTTATTAAAACTGACCATGTTTTTCTATATTTAGTACTGTCTTTTTCAACATGATGACTTATGCTGAATGTGACCAGAGCTATTTTCAAGTAGGTGACATTTGGTGCGAAACTGGGGGTGGTGTGTTTAGCTTCCGGTACTCGGAAAAGGAGCTGACTAAGCTAGTCATTTTTATTTTTTTTATTGCTGCTCTAAGGCCAAACTGTGCACACACATACAGGTAATAGCTGTTGAATGCTTAGTTATTTAAAAGAAAATCATAACGTTACTATAGAAGTTTATGGGAAAACATTTGGTTGTGTGTAACCTGTAGGGTGAGTGCACATTTCAGTAATTCATACTTTACATGCTTTTCTGTTTATATTTCACCATGGATACACCATGGAGGCAAATTTAAAAACAATGACAGTGAAGTTGGGGACATTTTGGGTTGAATGGAGCATTTGGATGGCCTGGAAATGAATGTTGCTTCGTATTGTGGTCGAACTCAGCACGAACCCCCCAGGGTACCTCTGTCCAACAAGCCCTCATCCTGCCTTCTGAATTTGTTGAAACTGATGAATTTGACAACAAATTAGGGTAAAGTCACCACTGCCACAACAATTTCTGCCTTATGTCAATCGCTTGCCAGTCAAGTTACGCGATGCCGTTATCTTGAGTATGAAGCATGTACACTGCTGACAGCAGAATATGTCACACATCCTCTTATTTACAGTAAACAATGTAGCATACCAATATATCTTTCTGTTAGGTGCTCTGTGTGAATGAATGATGCTATTTTTCTATTAAGTTTCTTAAAACAGACTTATTTTTCACTCATATGACTTTCAAATAATTATTTTGGCCCCTCAAGAACTAACTCCTGGCTGTTATATCCAAACTGGTTTGCCATTTGATATTGTCTGAACACTTTTTTCAGCTTTTCGCATGCCTGATGTTGACTGGGGAGGTATATGTGCACTCATGCAGAAGAAGTAGGAGTTTTGACATCGAATTTGGCATTTGGAGAAGCTGATCCGAAGTCCGGTGTTGGCAGTGTGTGATCGACAACCCTTGTTTTGCCTCGCTACGCTCTATTACCTTGTAGAAGTTGTGGAACTTGGACATGTAGGTACATTAAGTACATTTAAGAACCCCAGTCCATTTGAGGTTCCTCTGTTGCTCACTATCAAGTGCCATAATAAGATCACCCTCATGCACTAGACATTTCTAACAGTGCTCCCTTAATGCCCCACTGTGCAGTTTTTCAGTTTGCAAACATGAAATAAGGGCTATACACCAGTCCAAGAACCTGCTTAGATGAAAATAATATCCACTGGCTCTTTTGGAATGTAACATTATGGTTCTGAAATCATCTGTAAAGAATGTGATAGTGTTCGACAATACTGAATTATCTCCCCTGTTTAGTAAAATGCATTGTATCTTTCATTCCCCTATAAACCCATAAATTATTGGAGAGAAACACTATTTTAAGCTGGCATTGCATGACACTGTTAATTGTGAATAAAAAGAATTACATTTATGTCAGGATTAGCTGTACATTTTCAAAATTATATGGAATTTTAACTTTGTTTCATTGAAACTGGCAAATAACTGAAATAAGCAAGTTTAGCCACCTTGAAACATTAAACAGTAAGGATGTTTGATGTCCTGTGAGTATTTTAAAGTCTTAACTAAATAAACCAATAGAGTTAAGTGTAATTTCCTTCCATGTTGTGGTTTCAAAGAGCTTTCTTCTACTTGAGGGTCCATTTTCTATTTCTTGGCTTTAATAGGCGGTATGGTTCACTGGTCAGCATTTGAGATTGCTGGCAACAATGCACCCTTTTACTTCCTATTTTCTGGTAAAGCTCATTATCCAGCCTTACATATATGATGACTTTAAAGCTACTTAATGTGTCCCTTGCTTATTGTTGGCCTGAATTCCATGCTCTCTGTTCAATTTTGAGATTTTTTTCTGATTCCTTTCCATGTGTACTTATGTCACCAGCCTATATCATAGGGGATTATACTTTTGATTTTTGAAGTATATGAAAGCACAAACATTTGTGATAGCCCCTCCATAGATGATTTACCAAATGCTGACAGCCATTTGAGTGTTTAATTATATAAACAATGGATGGTGTAAGTTCGAGCAATCTCAAACAATATCAACCGCATCATGTCATGAGTGTCAAAACCATATTCCATGAATGTAGCAGACTCTGCTATGTTCTGATGATGTCAGCAAAGTAAGGCAAACAACAGACCACTACTCAATTTTAAATATGTATTGTAACTGGTTTTGAGGTTTAAAGATTTGTTCAATTTTTTTAGTCGAAAAAATATTTTAGGGTGATATGATCTATGCAGCCTCAATCATTTATAGAATTGACCCTTGACCCCCTTCTTTTATGAAATATGAATTAACTCCCATGGTCAGTGCATGAAGGTAGAAACTTCTTTATTAATACAGAAATACCTTTTGTAAAACATTGATGAAGTGTACATCCTTAAACTCTCACAACTCTTTCTGTGCATCAAAACTATGTATTCTGGTGCCATATAGACATGCTGGATAGGAACAAGTAGTGAAGTTTAATCCAATTTCCATTTTTTTTCTGAGAAGCTACATATATATACAATACATAAATCACACATTTGACAAGTGCAAATATATTCTGATTTGTCTACAGGTTCTACTACACCAAATCAGAACCAGTTTGGACAGCCTTCAGTGTAGATCGAGAGATATCTGCAGGCTGTGATTGGAGCATATTCTGTAAGATTGTTATGTCTTTCAAATGTACATCCATCCAGTTATTAAAACTGACCATGTTTTTCTATATTTAGTACTGTCTTTTTCAACATGATGACTTATGCTGAATGTGACCAGAGCTATTTTCAAGTAGGTGACATTTGGTGCGAAACTGGGGGTGGTGTGTTTAGCTTCCGGTACTCGGAAAAGGAGCTGACTAAGCTAGTCATTTTTATTTTTTTTATTGCTGCTCTAAGGCCAAACTGTGCACACACATACAGGTAATAGCTGTTGAATGCTTAGTTATTTAAAAGAAAATCATAACGTTACTATAGAAGTTTATGGGAAAACATTTGGTTGTGTGTAACCTGTAGGGTGAGTGCACATTTCAGTAATTCATACTTTACATGCTTTTCTGTTTATATTTCACCATGGATACACCATGGAGGCAAATTTAAAAACAATGACAGTGAAGTTGGGGACATTTTGGGTTGAATGGAGCATTTGGATGGCCTGGAAATGAATGTTGCTTCGTATTGTGGTCGAACTCAGCACGAACCCCCCAGGGTACCTCTGTCCAACAAGCCCTCATCCTGCCTTCTGAATTTGTTGAAACTGATGAATTTGACAACAAATTAGGGTAAAGTCACCACTGCCACAACAATTTCTGCCTTATGTCAATCGCTTGCCAGTCAAGTTACGCGATGCCGTTATCTTGAGTATGAAGCATGTACACTGCTGACAGCAGAATATGTCACACATCCTCTTATTTACAGTAAACAATGTAGCATACCAATATATCTTTCTGTTAGGTGCTCTGTGTGAATGAATGATGCTATTTTTCTATTAAGTTTCTTAAAACAGACTTATTTTTCACTCATATGACTTTCAAATAATTATTTTGGCCCCTCAAGAACTAACTCCTGGCTGTTATATCCAAACTGGTTTGCCATTTGATATTGTCTGAACACTTTTTTCAGCTTTTCGCATGCCTGATGTTGACTGGGGAGGTATATGTGCACTCATGCAGAAGAAGTAGGAGTTTTGACATCGAATTTGGCATTTGGAGAAGCTGATCCGAAGTCCGGTGTTGGCAGTGTGTGATCGACAACCCTTGTTTTGCCTCGCTACGCTCTATTACCTTGTAGAAGTTGTGGAACTTGGACATGTAGGTACATTAAGTACATTTAAGAACCCCAGTCCATTTGAGGTTCCTCTGTTGCTCACTATCAAGTGCCATAATAAGATCACCCTCATGCACTAGACATTTCTAACAGTGCTCCCTTAATGCCCCACTGTGCAGTTTTTCAGTTTGCAAACATGAAATAAGGGCTATACACCAGTCCAAGAACCTGCTTAGATGAAAATAATATCCACTGGCTCTTTTGGAATGTAACATTATGGTTCTGAAATCATCTGTAAAGAATGTGATAGTGTTCGACAATACTGAATTATCTCCCCTGTTTAGTAAAATGCATTGTATCTTTCATTCCCCTATAAACCCATAAATTATTGGAGAGAAACACTATTTTAAGCTGGCATTGCATGACACTGTTAATTGTGAATAAAAAGAATTACATTTATGTCAGGATTAGCTGTACATTTTCAAAATTATATGGAATTTTAACTTTGTTTCATTGAAACTGGCAAATAACTGAAATAAGCAAGTTTAGCCACCTTGAAACATTAAACAGTAAGGATGTTTGATGTCCTGTGAGTATTTTAAAGTCTTAACTAAATAAACCAATAGAGTTAAGTGTAATTTCCTTCCATGTTGTGGTTTCAAAGAGCTTTCTTCTACTTGAGGGTCCATTTTCTATTTCTTGGCTTTAATAGGCGGTATGGTTCACTGGTCAGCATTTGAGATTGCTGGCAACAATGCACCCTTTTACTTCCTATTTTCTGGTAAAGCTCATTATCCAGCCTTACATATATGATGACTTTAAAGCTACTTAATGTGTCCCTTGCTTATTGTTGGCCTGAATTCCATGCTCTCTGTTCAATTTTGAGATTTTTTTCTGATTCCTTTCCATGTGTACTTATGTCACCAGCCTATATCATAGGGGATTATACTTTTGATTTTTGAAGTATATGAAAGCACAAACATTTGTGATAGCCCCTCCATAGATGATTTACCAAATGCTGACAGCCATTTGAGTGTTTAATTATATAAACAATGGATGGTGTAAGTTCGAGCAATCTCAAACAATATCAACCGCATCATGTCATGAGTGTCAAAACCATATTCCATGAATGTAGCAGACTCTGCTATGTTCTGATGATGTCAGCAAAGTAAGGCAAACAACAGACCACTACTCAATTTTAAATATGTATTGTAACTGGTTTTGAGGTTTAAAGATTTGTTCAATTTTTTTAGTCGAAAAAATATTTTAGGGTGATATGATCTATGCAGCCTCAATCATTTATAGAATTGACCCTTGACCCCCTTCTTTTATGAAATATGAATTAACTCCCATGGTCAGTGCATGAAGGTAGAAACTTCTTTATTAATACAGAAATACCTTTTGTAAAACATTGATGAAGTGTACATCCTTAAACTCTCACAACTCTTTCTGTGCATCAAAACTATGTATTCTGGTGCCATATAGACATGCTGGATAGGAACAAGTAGTGAAGTTTAATCCAATTTCCATTTTTTTTCTGAGAAGCTACATATATATACAATACATAAATCACACATTTGACAAGTGCAAATATATTCTGATTTGTCTACAGGTTCTACTACACCAAATCAGAACCAGTTTGGACAGCCTTCAGTGTAGATCGAGAGATATCTGCAGGCTGTGATTGGAGCATATTCTGTAAGATTGTTATGTCTTTCAAATGTACATCCATCCAGTTATTAAAACTGACCATGTTTTTCTATATTTAGTACTGTCTTTTTCAACATGATGACTTATGCTGAATGTGACCAGAGCTATTTTCAAGTAGGTGACATTTGGTGCGAAACTGGGGGTGGTGTGTTTAGCTTCCGGTACTCGGAAAAGGAGCTGACTAAGCTAGTCATTTTTATTTTTTTTATTGCTGCTCTAAGGCCAAACTGTGCACACACATACAGGTAATAGCTGTTGAATGCTTAGTTATTTTAAAAAAAAATCATAACGTTACTATAGAAGTCTATAGGAAAACATTTGGTTGTGTGTAACCTTAAATCCCACCAGCAATATCTATATCCCCATGTACGGCTGCTGTTTAAATAAGCGTTCCACTGAAGACTCCTTATGTACATATGGTACATACACATGTTTGAATTCAGCGAATTGTTTGTCATTTAATTCTTAATTCCAAATATACATATTCAACGTATCATTGTTTTCAAAGTTCAGAAACTTGCCAATAACATGCAGTTGTTTTACGATATATGGTATTATCATGTTACGATATGTTTAGGTAATATCAGTCGGCAACACTTGTTGATACTTTAACCTAAAACTCCCGCTCGATAAATGAAAACGACACACAAACATTTGTATATTTAATACCTGACGAGCATGGTGTCTAAAATCAGTTACATAATGACCGACCTATTGCTAAGTGCGATAGGAATATAGAGAAAAGAAAACTACATAAGAATTCCGACACAATCGGGCGTCACTTATGATACACGACATCTTATCAACATAATATCCGTTCAAAACTTGGTTGGATTGTGAGAGCAAATCACACGCATCTAGATAGGTAGCCACGTTGGTCATGAAGTTACAAAATGTACTATAGTTTGCTTCATTACAGCAGTGGCGCTTGGAGATTTTCTGATAGTTTGACACATTATGATACACGACATAATATCGTGAGTATAACCATTCACAACTTGGTGGGATTGTGAGAGCAAATCACTCACGTCTAGATAGGTAGCTACGTTGGTCATGAACATTACCAAAGTACCATTAGTGCATTGAGACAGGAACTGTAAAATATATTGTAACATGAAATATACCGAAAACATTCATTTGATCACAATGTGCCATGTGTTAAACACAATTCATTCACTCCACTTACCTTTGCAATGTGGTACTTGGAAGTTGGTCTTACATCCCTGTGGACATTCACCATTACTTTTGTTGCAATGAGTACCATTTTTACAAGAACCACACAGCTGTGAACAGTTTCCTCCGAAATATCCATCTTCACAGTCTAAAATGAAAATATTGAACATCAATGTAGCTTTCTCTCAATCGCTCATTTCGCATTTGTTTTCTTAATCGTCCTGTGCAGATTTGAAATGTACATGTCTTTTTTTCAGGAATGAATTATAAGGTAAATTTAGAAATAATTGAACCAGATAAGTTGAAAATAAAATGTACTATGGTTTGCTCCATTACAGCAGTGGCGCTGGGAGATTTTCTGATAGTTTGACAAATTATGTGGACATTCACCATTACTTTTGTTGCAATGAGTACCATCTGTGCAAAAAAAACCTGCTGTAAACAGTTTCCTCCGAAATATCCATCTACACAGTCTAAAATGGAAATATTGAACATCAAAGTAGATTTCTCTCAATAGCTTATTTCTCATTTGTTTTCTTAATCGTCTTATGCAGATTTGAAATGAACATGTCTGTTCTACCAGATATGTATCAAAGGGTAAATTTAGAAATAATTGAACCAGATAAGTTACAAAATGTACTATGGTTTGCTCCATTACAGCAGTGGCGCTTGGAGATTTTCTGATAGTTTGACACATTATGTGGACATTCACCATTACTTTTGTTGCAGTGAGTACCATCTGTGCAAAAAACACACTGCTGTAAACAGTTTCCTCCGAAACATCCATCTTCACAGTCTAAAATGGAAATATTGAACATCAGTGTAGCTTTTTCTCAATAGCTTATTTCTCATTTGTTTTCTCAATCGTCTTGCGTAGATACCTTACCTTTGCAATATGGTGTTTGGAAGTTGGTCTTACATCCCTGTGGACATTCACCATTACTTTTGTTGCAATGAGTTCCATTTTTACAAGAACCACACTGCTGTGAACAGTTTCCTCCGTAATATCCATCTACACAGTCTAAAATAGAAATATTGAACATCAAAGTAGATTTCTCTCAATTGCTCATTTCTCATTTGTTTTCTTAATCGTCTTATGCAGATTTGAAATGAACATGTCTGTTCTACCAGATATGTATGAAAAGTTTAATTTGGAAATAATTGAACCAGATAAGTTACAAAATGTACTATGGTTTGCTCCATTACAGCAGTGGCGCTTAGAGATTTTCTGATAGTTTGACACATTATGATACACGACATAATATCCTGAGTATGGCAATTCACAACTTGGTGGGATTGTGAGTGCATATGACTCACGTCTAGATCGGTAGCCACGTTGGCCATGAACAATTACAAAATGCCATTAGTGCATTTGGCAAGGATCTGTAAAATATATTGTAACATGAAATATACCGAAAACATTCATTTGATTACAATGGGCCATGTGTTAAACACAATTCATTCACTCCACTTACCTTTGCAATGTGGTGCTTGGAAGTTGGTCTTACATCCCTGTAGGCATTCACCATTACTTTTGTTGCAATGAGTACCATTTTTACAAGAACCACACTGCTGTGAACAGTTTCCTCCGTAATATCCATCTACACAGTCTAAAATGGAAATATTGAACATCAATGTAGATTTCTCTCAATAGCTTATTTCTCATTTGTTTTCTTAATCGTCTTATGCAGATTTGAAATGAACATGTCTGTTCTACCAGATATGTATCAAAGGGTAAATTTAGAAATAATTGAACCAGATAAGTTACAAAATGTACTATGGTTTGCTCCATTACAGCAGTGGCGCTTGGAGATCTGCTGATAGTTTGACACATTATAGTACACGACATAATATCCTGAGTATGGCCATACACAACTTGGTGGGATTGTGAGTGCATATGACTCACGTCTAGATCGGTAGCCACGTTGGCCATGAACAATTACAAATTGCCATTAGTGCATTTAGCAAAGATCTGTAAAATATATTGTAACATGAAATATACCGAAAACATTCATTTGATCACAATGTGCCAGGTGTTAAACACAATTCATTCACTACATTTACCTTTGCAATATGGTGTTTGGAAGTTTGTCTTACATCCCTGTGGACATGCACCATTACTTTTGTTGCAATGAGTACCATTTTTACAAGAACCACACAGCTGTGAACAGTTTCCCCCGAAATATCCATCTTCACAGTCTAAAATGAAAATATTGAACATCAATGTAGCTTTTTTTCAATATCTTATTTCGCATTAGTTTTCTTTATCGTCTTGCGCAGATTTGAAATGAACATGTCTGGTTTTTTGATAGAAATGTATCAAAGGGTAAATTTAGAAATAATTCAACCAGATAAGTTACAAAATGTACTATGGTTTGCTCCATTACAGCAGTGGCGCTTGGAGATTTTCTGATAGTTTGACAAATTATGTGGACATTCACCATTACTTTTGTTGCAATGAGTACCATCTGTGCAAAAAAACACACTGCTGTAAACAGTTTCCTCCGAAATATCCATCTTAACAGTCTAAAATGGAAATATTGAACATCAGTGTAGCTTTTTCTCAATAGCTTATTTCTCATTTGTTTTCTTAATCGTCTTGTGCAGATACCTTACCTTTGCAATATGGTGTTTGAAAGTTGGTCTTACATCCCTGTGGACATTCACCATTACTTTTGTTGCAATGAGTACCATTTTTACAAGAACCACACTGCTGTGAACAGTTTCCTCCGTAATATCCATCTACACAGTCTAAAATAGAAATATTGAACATCAAAGTAGATTTATCTCAATTGCTCATTTCTCATTTGTTTTCTTAATCGTCTTATGCAGATTTGAAATGAACATGTCTGTTCTACCAGATATGTATGAAAAGTTTAATTTGGAAATAATTGAACCAGATAAGTTAAAAAATGTACTATGGTTTGCTCCATTACAGCAGTGGCGCTTAGAGATTTTCTGATAGTTTGACACATTAGGATACACGACATAATATCCTGAGTATGGCAATTCACAACTTGGTGGGATTGTGAGTGCATATGACTCACGTCTAGATCGGTAGCCACGTTGGCAATGAACAATTACAAAATGCCATTAGTGCATTTGGCAAGGATCTGTAAAATATATTGTAACATGAAATATACCGAAAACATTCATTTGATTACAATGGGCCATGTGTTAAACACAATTCATTCACTCCACTTACCTTTGCAATGTGGTGCTTGGAAGTTGGTCTTACATCCCTGTGGACATTCACCATTACTTTTGTTGCAATGAGTACCATTTTTACAAGAACCACACAGCTGTGAACAGTTTCCTCCGAAATATCCATCTTCACAGTCTAAAATGAAAATATTGAACATCAATGTAGCTTTCTCTCAATCGCTCATTTCGCATTTGTTTTCTTAATCGTCCTATGCAGATTTGAAATGTACATGTCTTTTTTTCAGGAATGAATTATAAGGTAAATTTAGAAATAATTGAACCAGATAAGTTGAAAATAAAATGTACTATGGTTTGCTCCATTACAGCAGTGGCGCTGGGAGATTTTCTGATAGTTTGACAAATTATGTGGACATTCACCATTACTTTTGTTGCAATGAGTACCATCTGTGCAAAAAAACCCTGCTGTAAACAGTTTCCTCCGAAATATCCATCTACACAGTCTAAAATGGAAATATTGAACATCAAAGTAGATTTCTCTCAATAGCTTATTTCTCATTTGTTTTCTTAATCGTATTATGCAGATTTGAAATGAACATGTCTGTTCTACCAGATATGTATCAAAGGGTAAATTTAGAAATAATTGAACCAGATAAGTTACAAATTGTACTATGGTTTGCTCCATTACAGCAGTGGCGCTTGGAGATTTTCTGATAGTTTGTCACATTATGTGGACATTCACCATTACTTTTGTTGCAGTGAGTACCATCTGTGCAAAAAACACACTGCTGTAAACAGTTTCCTCCGAAACATCCATCTTCACAGTCTTAAATGGAAATATTGAACATCAGTGTAGCTTTTTCTCAATAGCTTATTTCTCATTTGTTTTCTTAATCGTCTTGCGTAGATACCTTACCTTTGCAATATGGTGTTTGGAAGTTGGTCTTACATCCCTGTGGACATTCACCATTACTTTTGTTGCAATGAGTACCATTTTTACAAGAACCACACTGCTGTGAACAGTTTCCTCCGTAATATCCATCTACACAGTCTAAAATGGAAATATTGAACATCAAAGTAGATTTATCTCAATTGCTCATTTCTCATTTGTTTTCTTAATCATCTTATGCAGATTTGAAATGAACATGTCTGTTCTACCAGATATGTATGAAAAGTTTAATTTGGAAATAATTGAACCAGATAAGTTACAAAATGTACTATGGTTTGCTCCATTACAGCAGTGGCGCTTGGAGATCTTCTGATAGTTTGACACATTATAGTACACGACATAATATCCTGAGTATGGCCATACACAACTTGGTGGGATTGTGAGTGCATATGACTCACGTCTAGATCTGTAGCCACGTTGGCCATGAACAATTACAAATTGCCATTAGTGCATTTAGCAAAGATCTGTAAAATATATTGTAACATGAAATATACCGCAAACATTCATTTGATCACAATGTGCCAGGTGTTAAACACAATTCATTCACTCCACTTACCTTTGCAATGTGGTGCTTGGAAGTTGGTCTTACATCCCTGTGGACATTCACCATTACTTTTGTTGCAATGAGTACCATTTTTACAAGAACCACACAGCTGTGAACAGTTTCCCCCGAAATATCCATCTTCACAGTCTAAAATGAAAATATTGAACATCAATGTAGCTTTTTTTCAATATCTTATTTCGCATTAGTTTTCTTTATCGTCTTGCGCAGATTTGAAATGAACATGTCTGTTTTTTTGATAGAAATGTATCAAAGGGTAAATTTAGAAATAATTCAACCAGATAAGTTACAAAATGTACTATGGTTTGCTCCATTACAGCAGTGGCGCTTGGAGATTTTCTGATAGTTTGACAAATTATGTGGACATTCACCATTACTTTTGTTGCAATGAGTACCATCTGTGCAAAAAAACACACTGCTGTAAACAGTTTCCTCCGAAATATCCATCTTAACAGTCTAAAATGGAAATATTGAACATCAGTGTAGCTTTTTCTCAATAGCTTATTTCGCATTTGTTTTCTTAATCGTCTTGTGCAGATACCTTACCTTTGCAATATGGTGTTTGAAAGTTGGTCTTACATCCCTGTGGACATTCACCATTACTTTTGTTGCAATGAGTTCCATTTTTACAAGAACCACACTGCTGTGAACAGTTTCCTCCGTAATATCCATCTACACAGTCTAAAATAGAAATATTGAACATCAAAGTAGATTTCTCTCAATTGCTCATTTCTCATTTGTTTTCTTAATCGTCTTATGCAGATTTGAAATGAACATGTCTGTTCTACCAGATATGTATGAAAAGTTTAATTTGGAAATAATTGAACCAGATAAGTTACAAAATGTACTATGGTTTGCTCCATTACAGCAGTGGCGCTTAGAGATTTTCTGATAGTTTGACACATTATGATACACGACATAATATCCTGAGTATGGCAATTCACAACTTGGTGGGATTGTGAGTGCATATGACTCACGTCTAGATCGGTAGCCACGTTGGCCATGAACAATTACAAAATGCCATTAGTGCATTTGGCAAGGATCTGTAAAATATATTGTAACATGAAATATACCGAAAACATTCATTTGATTACAATGGGCCATGTGTTAAACACAATTCATTCACTCCACTTACCTTTGCAATGTGGTGCTTGGAAGTTGGTCTTACATCCCTGTAGGCATTCACCATTACTTTTGTTGCAATGAGTACCATTTTTACAAGAACCACACTGCTGTGAACAGTTTCCTCCGTAATATCCATCTACACAGTCTAAAATGGAAATATTGAACATCAATGTAGATTTCTCTCAATAGCTTATTTCTCATTTGTTTTCTTAATCGTCTTATTCGGATTTGAAATGAACATGTCTGTTCTACCAGATATATATCAAAAGGTAAATTAAGAAAGAATTAAACCAGATAAGTTACAAAATGTACTATGGTTTGCTCCATTACAGCAGTGGCGCTTGGAGATTTTCTGATAGTTTGACACATTATGATACACGACATAATATCCTGAGTATGGCAATTCACAACTTGGTGGGATTGTGAGAGCATATGACTCACGTCTAGATCGGTAGCCACGTTGGCCATGAACAATTACAAATTGCCATTAGTGCATTTAACAAAGATCTGTAAAATATATTGTAACATGAAATATACCGAAAACATTCATTTGATTACAATGTGCCATCTGTTAAACACAATTCATTCACTCCACTTACCTTTGCAATGTGGTACTTGGAAGTTGGTCTTACATCCCTGTGGACATTCACCATTACTTTTGTTGCAACGAGTACTATCTTTACAAGAACCACACAGCTGTAAACAGTTTCCTCCGAAATATCCATCTTCACAGTCTAAAATGAAAATATTGAACATCAGTGTAGCTTTTTCTCAATCGCTCATTTCGCATTTGTGTTCGTAATTGTCTTGCGCAGATTTGAAATGTACATGTCTTTTTTCAGGAATGAATAATAAGGTAAATTTAGAAATAATTGAACCAGATAAGTTACAAAATGTACTATGGTTTGCTCCATTACAGCAGTGGCGCTTGGCGGTTTTCTGATTGTTTGACACATTATCATACACGACATAATATCGTCAGTTTCTTCTATTGATAGCTTGGTGGGATTGTGAGAGCAAATCACTCACGTCTAGATCGGTAGCCGTGTTGGTCATGAACATTACTCAAGTACCATTAATGCATTGAGACAGGAACTGTAAAATATATTGTAACATGAAATATACCGAAAACATTCATTTGATCACAATGTGCCATGCGTCAAACACAATTCATTCACTACACTTACCTTTGCAATATGGTGTTTGGAAGTTGGTCTTACATCCCTGTGGACATTCACCATTACTTTTGTTGCAACGAGTACCATTTTTACAAGAACCACACTGCTGTAAACAGTTTCCTCCGTAATATCCATCTTCACAGTCTAAAATGGAAATATTGAACATCAATGTAGCTTTCTCTCAATAACTTATTTCTCATTTGTTTTCTTAATCGTTTTATGCAGATTTGAAATGAACATGTCTGTTCTACCAGAAATGTATCAAATGGTACATTTAGAAATTATACAGATAATATAACTTACTATCGGTTGCTTCATAACAGCAGTGGCGCTTGGACTTCCTATCGTCATAATAACCATTCAAAACTTGGTTTGGTTGTGAGAGCAAATCACTCACGTCTAACTTTCCATTAGTGTATTGAGAAAGTATCTGTAAAATACTTGTTAACATGAAGTATACCGACAATATTCTTTTTGTGTGACAATGTGCCAGAAATATATCAAATGTTAAATTTAGTACAGAAATGAATCGGATAAGTTGTGAGAACAAATCACTCGCGTCTACATCAGTAGCCACGTTGGTCATGCACACTACCAAGATGTCATTAGTATATTGAGTAAAGAAAAACATTTGGTAACAAGAAGAAGAAGAAGGAGAAGAAGAAGAAGAAGACGAGGTTTATTCGGTATGAAATGACCAAGAGTACAAAACATAAGATAAAACCTTTGCACATGGACAGGGGAGGCAAATGTCATACCATCTCAATACAATATTTATGATACATTATACAGGCAGATTTATTTTCAGTTATACGACGACGTTTTCTTATGAGCTAAACCTCTTTTCTTGCTGATAGTTCATTTTGATTGTGATGGGTAAATGTAATAATTGCTTGGATGTAGAGCTTTCTGTTATTCTGGTTTTCACATAAAATGTTCAAACTAAAATATATGATATTCATCTTCAATTATATTATGATTATATTGATTGCACTCCAAAAAATCAGTATTAACTTGTCATTATACCGAAACTGTTGAATACCTAACTTATTGCGTTAGGATAGCTTTTCATCCATTATTCCCTGCCTTGTCCATCTCGGAAGCTTGACCACTGTCGCCCCTGGGTGAAAATATATCATTATGACTGATTTTTGCTATCAGTAATGTATTTTTGTATTCGATACTGACAAATGCCATCATAGTATATATTGTCATTGAATATTGTACTACCTCGCTATTGTGTACTGACAAATGCCATCATATTCAATCTTTATTTCACGTACTGAAGAGGCCACAGGCCTATAGTACAATTTGAAGAATATACAATTGTATACAATTTATGTACATATCTCACCAAATCACCTCACGTCATTCCACATCGCATCTCAACACAGTCACATAATTCCACACATACAGTACAATACCATACCCTGTAATTTCATAATTTCTATTTGACCATATCACAACTTGTTATATCATACAACATATTCTATAACATCATATCATATTATATCATTATTATAAGATCATACTATATAGTATTATTTTATATACCATTATCATAACATACCATACATACCATCGTACCATATATCACACCTATATTTTATCACATTTCAACATGTCATATCACACAACACATTAGCAATTTCACAGCTTGTCCCATCATATCTTATCATATCATACCATATAATGCCATGTCATTCCATGCCAATTTATATCATATCAATTAATCAATATTTATTCAACACTGGAAGACCGCAAGCCATATAATATGTACACTAAAAAACAGTATTTACCCAATTTCTATAATACACATAACATATTGCATCATATCCCCTCATGTATCATGTATAATACCACAACACTTATCATATCATATCACATCATGTCATGTCACATCATATAATTTCATTTAAGAATTGACCTTCACTTTGTGTGAGTTCATTGGAGTATGAAGGTTCATACTCCAATGAACTCACACAAAGTGAAAGTCAATTCTTATAAAATTTTTATCACAATTTCTTACCTCAAACGATGTAGGCCAAGATCTAAACACAATTTCATTTACATACGTGTGACTTCATGTTTACACTGACAGCCATACAACAAACAGCTATATCGCGGAGTAAAATAGTTCCTCAAAAAGAGAGGTGACATGGGCGTATGGATGCACAACTTGCTCTTCAGAAACATCTTAAGCAGCACATGTGTTCAAATCATATCCTCATTAGATGAGAAAGGTCTGTAAAGAACTACCTCAGTAAGTCAGTCACAATGACAGCGCGTCGTAATACATTTACATGAAGAACAAGACGTCAAAATGGCCGACACGATAAACGTGACGGGAGAGATTTCCAAAGTTGTTAATGAACCTGTGGCGGTTAGTGTTAGTCATCATTGATCAACTGGCCGATTATTGAAAGGTGAATAAAGATGCCTCAAACAGACACTAAGGTAAATTCATAGATTGCTTGAGACGGTCAATATCAGCCTTGGCACGGATCGAGTCGACACTACGATAGTTTAGATGTGCATTTCATCGTTTGTTCATTCGGATAGGCCGCAGCGAGGATATTCGTGAACAAGCATGCAGTCACGCTCTCTGACATTTCTCAATGTATACTGAAACGCTGAGACCAAGAATAAAGGTTCTAAATGATCAGAAAGAACGCTTATGTGTGTTTTCGTGCTAGGGAATTCCCAGGGGTTTCCCCAGGAATGTGGAAGTAGTCCGTCAGTGTTTACGTCATTTAAAGAATACGGTCTCGTGAAAAACGTATGAACGCCCAATGGAAAAGCCGTATATCGTGTAAACTTCAAATTAAAAAATTATATACATATAACTATACTAAACCATTTGTAATATCACGTCCCACAATATCATATGACAGCCTAATAGTTTAATACCATTTCTAACTTTTTTGTTTGTAGTTTATTCAAATGGCAAATATCTATAAAAGTGTGCTTAATGTATATACACAATAGTTTCCTATTATCAAGCAGCTAGGATTATTCTTTCATAAGGTTCTGTCGGTATAAAGAGGCATAATATATGTACATGGAAACATTTTGTAAGATACTCCTTTTTGTGTTTGACAGCAGTGTAACAAATATAGAGGTTATCACGCGAGTGTGTTTGGGGATGGTAAATATCCTGCATTAGGAATAAACATTGTATTTAGCGAGCCTTGGCGAGCTAAATACATAGTGTTTATTCCTAATACAGGATATTTAACATCCCCAAACACACAAGCGTGATAACCTCTTTATCATATAATGTCATTCTTTAATTCTGTGCTTCAAAATCGCTTTTCCTCTCTCACAAACATTACCGAAACATTGCGAGTTTTCCTGGAATGCGCGCATTAATATTTATTACGTCACAGGGTAAATGATGTGTCAGTCGGACAGTGACAGTAGCCAATATAGTTCCAACTGAAATATGTTTCTTATACAGTGGCGAAGCAACATATACGCAAAACAAGAATTGTTTTTAAAATTTCCTTTCGCGGCAATCCATCGGTCTGTCCGCTAGAGTAACTGCCCTTTGTCAAAGGGAAGCCACTCTAACCCTAGTCTTTGAGACGTCACGGCCACGGTCAGATGTTGTTGACAGTCGGTCTTTCCTGTCATAACGATAAGAAGTGTAGTCAGATGTACACACAGCGACAAAACGAAACAAGGTAACAATTCAAACATATTTCCGCCAAATCCAACTATTTTAATTTGTGGAGGAGGTTTCAAGCCGCAGAGGTCTACAGGCACAGATATGGCTACTGATCCCGCTTGGCTAGGCCTCGTGCCCTCGCCAAATTGTTTCGAAATTTATATCTCCAAAGTTGCCAAAACTTTTAAAATGCCTTAGCTACGTCACAGTTAGACACAGATTTTCAGTATATTAGACTGTTCTTTTGATAATGATAGCAATTATCCCTGTAGTTTATCCAGATTCCCGATGGTTAATTCTGACTCGATCGCCGAATGACGAGTGCGACGCCATGTTTGTTTATAAACAGTGAAAGTAGTCCCTACTTGACCTTTGATATTTGCATCTCTATCCGCATATGACCCCAACGGATACCGTTTTTATCCGTTGGCTTTATCCTGTCGAGAAACCTACCCATTATATGATAATTAATAATATTAGGCTACCTGTAATAATAAGCTTGCAGGTATTTTTCTCTAAGGTGTAAATACACTGGACATACAAGTAAGAAATGAGATTCATCTTCTACTGAGTTTAAACTACATAGACTACAGATTCTTTCTTCACGAGGAATGTTTGCATATCGCCCTGTTTCTATTAAAAGGTCGTGAGAAGAACATCTAAAACGTGAAAGAGCCGTTCGGAATTTTTTAACATTACCTTTTGATAAATAATCTTCCATAATTATTTCTGATTTAAACATTTTGTAATAAGAGCACTTGTTTGTAAGAGTCAACGATGCAGTCCAAGATTGTTAATAAATATCCTTTAATCTCTGGGTTAATGAAAGTATAAACATTGATTTGGAACACACATATTTGTTTTGCCAAATATCACCAAAGCCACAACTGAAAAGTAATTCTCTAACACCTGTAACCCAGTTTCTTTTCCCATTATTATCATAAAACTATCATCATATTATAACACTTTTTTGGCAATCTATATGAGGGCAAGTCAATAAGTCTCAGCCAGTATTTAATAACTTTTATATTTGAATATACATAGAGAGGGAATCTTCCACATTCTCCATTAACCACCAAGCTGGAAGTGTTTATTTTAACACCTAGATACTTTTTGCAAACATATAAATGAATCTTTTCTATGGCATCAAAGTGCTGTAAACCCCAGACTTCTGCCCCATACAACAAAATGGGGAGTATCTTTATATCAAATATTTAAAAAAATGATTGATGAGAAATGGTTTCTAAAACTTTCAAACTCTTATATCATATTATATATATTGCCATTGAATATTGTACTACCTCTCTATTGTGTACTGCCATTGCAATTGCCATGCAGTAATTTTACTGATTTGTAAGTTTTTTCATACATTTGTTTATTGTATACCAATTGTTGGTTCTTTGTTGGTTTCAAACCAGGTTCTTTTACGTGCAGATTTCTAAATTAACATTTTGTTTCTTTTGGGAATCGACTC